CGTACCTTTTCTGTTCTGCCGAGAAAAGGCCAGCAGCATTCAACAGGTCATATGTTCTTGGATATGTGTTGAATGGTTCACACCTAAAGAAAGAACAGAGGAACAGTCATTTGAATTGTAAGTTTGTGAACTGTAAAGCTTGTAGCTTATGCATAGTAACTTTCACTTTCAGTTTCAATCAAAATCTGATAGGCTTGAATTTGAATCACAACACAATTCAAGTATTTTTATAAAATGAAGAACTTGTGTCTTTAATCTGCAAGCACTATCAAATTTCTGATTTTCAACCATTTTTATCTTCACATTTTCTGGAAAAAGAAGGATATGATAAAAATGGCTCATACCAATCGTGCATCACGCCTATTAAACCACGATCGAATATCACAGGCAGCGTATTTGGACCACTAACAGGAACAACATTCATAACCCAACTATCGACCTGAAAATCTGCTAAAGTTGCGGCAAACCTACCATTTTCCGGAAAAAAAAAAACAAAAACAAAAAAAATCGAAAATCAAGATCTTTATAAACAACATCAACAGAAAGAAAAATCGGACATTTAATGTGATAATAAACTGATTACCCTCCATATCTAGCTTTCATGTCCATCACGTTTCGTAAGTTCATCTTGTGGATATGAAAAGCATTAATGTAACCACTCACGATATCATTCCAATACTTCGAGTCCGCTTTATATAAATCTTTCCTCGATTTGTAAGCATCCATTGGTATGGCAAAAAGCCTGTCCGGTGGACTGTGCAGGCGAGCAGGCCAGCTGGCAATGTTAGCTCCATAACCGTTTTCGGGTAATCTTGTGATGCATTCCTTCAAAGTTGCATTCCTGTGATTAAAAATAAATATTAAGTACTTGTGAATTTTCCATTCATTTGAAAAAAAAAAAAAAAAAATGGGGCATAAAGTAGAGTACCATATATCATCTGGATTGTCTTCAGGGTCGCATAGAGAAGGTTGTACATAACGATCACGGTTTAGATAGCAGCTGTTATTTAGAGGCTTCTGCCAAATAGTAATGTAACCTTTCTTGTTAACTAATTCCCAACAAAGCTTGCTGGTAAGATCCTCCATCTCTGTTTGAAGTAAGAAAAAGATCAAAAAGTAGTCATTGGGCTTAAATATATATAATACATATTTTCCATGGGAATTTCACAGTAAAAACATATCTTCGACTATTTGTTTTCACCTTTATCAACAGATGATACTGCCAATACAAAGTATCCTCCGGCTCTCAGAATCCTATTTGCCTCGAGAAGTAAAATTCCACCTATAACACCACAAAACATGGCATGAGTATAGAAAATTAGAGAAGAATGCCTCTATAAAACCATCAGTGACACAAAATCGAGCAAAAGAGGACATACTGTTTCGATTTGTGGTCTAGAGCTTGTTTAATATAACATAGCTTAAAAGAGTGAGATTTTCTTACCATTGGTTCTCTTGGGTTTCATCTCTAGCCTACCCCAACTTGCTTGGGACTAAAAGGCTATGTTGTTGTTGTTGTTGTTGTTGTTGTTGTTGTTGTTGTTGTTGTTCTAGTGTTTTAGAATGATGATTTTTGCTGACTAAAGAGGTGTTTTTGAAGTATCCCAGGTTCTAGTTTGACTTCTATGCACAAAATGAAACACTTTTTCAACTTATTATTTATCAATCACTTCCTATATTTAGCCATTTTCTAAATCAACCAAATTCTACTCACTTAAAATAAACTTCTTCCTGAAAATCACAAATTTCTACCAACTCTCCATTTTACTGAGCTCCATCCACTATCTTTTTCAATAACTGCAAGCAAAAAAAAAAAAGAAAAAACACTATAAAATTAATTGAAAGTATCAAATGCACACCTTCACTAGTCCAATTAACTCCAGGTCTAGCCCAATGGACCAAGTCGAAAGCTTGGCTTGGATAAGGCAAACGAAGCTTTCCAAATGCACCCAACATTGCAGGCACACCTCTCTCGAGTGCAATTTGTATCTGATTATTAGAAACATCTTTCGAATCTATAGAAAGGGTCGTCACATTTCGATCCATCAAGTATCCACCAAAACTCGCAATGCCCGAGCCAACATCCAGAGCAACCCGTGTACGTTGCCCGAATTTTATTTCAGGAGCCATCTAAATTCATTTTCGCCAAAAACTCCAATTAAGTAGATAAAATATGAAAAAACAAAATCGAGAGAGATGGTTGATGAAAACCTTGGATATCTGGTCCAAGTATTGGTTGACACCATTGATATATGGAGGTTCACGTCCGGATAATATGATTTTATCACCTTTCTTCGATATCCAATTTTGACCTCCATTGGCTCCAACCAGAGGTGTATGAGGCACATTGTCAAACCACAACTGCAATTGCATTGTAACATCTAATAATTTCGTTTCAAACTAAAGATCAGAACTATTAAGTTACCCATAACATCTATGAACCGGAGCCATCAAAACTGATTCTGCCCAAATCAACTATTATCAATTAATCTCAAGCAAAGCAGGGAATCATCTTGCAAACAGTCTGACATTGATTTTTTTTTTATTCCATTGATAATATGTATTTGCTCAGAATCTTTTATAGAAACTCAAACATAACAAATTTAAAAAGTTAAGACTTTTATATCTCACCTACTCCTCAACAGAAACACCATCATTCATTTCTACATGTAACCAAATCCATGTCCCTATTTATAAACAGAAATCAAGAAAGAATATAACAACAAAATCTCACCATTGATCAACATATACTAAACATTATCAACAAGAAATACAAAAATGAAAAAAGCACCTCTTCCCGGCTTTTGGGCCACGCAATGTGAAGCTTATACCCTTTAGGCCAAGGCAGCAAACAATCCAAAACCTTCACCTTCTCAGGACAACCTCTCTCATAATTTCCACCCTCGACCGATGAATTAAACCTCGTAATCAAACCCACATTGTCCAAACAGGGCACATACTCACTTACAATCCCCTCACAAATCCTAAATTTTTCAACTTTAACAACCTTTTTATCCTCACCGTCACTTTTTCCCTTCCCAACGCTGCTATTGAAGTCCACCACAACACTCTCAATCAGGCTCTCATCAAATTCCCCCACAACGAAGTCTTCGGTCATGATACCCAATTCGTTCACGATCCCGGTGCGCTCGACCACCGCCGCCGGAGGCTTCGTCATCGGCGGCGGCGGCGGCGGCGGAGGGGAGGAGGGAGCGGCGGAGGGGGCCGAGTTGAAGAAGGAGAGGTGGAGGTTCTGGGCCGCCTCGGGGTGGAGAGAGAAGAGTCTGAAGAAGAGGAGGAGGGCTAATGTGAGGAGAGAGAAAGCTACGATCTTTGCGAATGCGTGGGCTGAGGACGGTGGTGGCGGTGAGCTTGTGGTCATGGCTTTCATGGCGGTTGGTGTGTGTGTGTGTTTTTCTTGTTGAAGGTTTTGGGCTTTTTCAGATTCTTTTACTGAAAGTTGGTTTACTTGTGACTGGAAAAAGAAGGGCTCTTAATATATAAGATTATTCTCTCAATTTCTTATTACAAACTAAAGTTGAGATTTATGTGTTTGGTTTTTTTTATTATTATAAATATTTTTTAAAATTTAAAAAATTAAATTATATTAAATTTGGATGTTTTTAAAAACTGTTAAAAGTATGGAAGTATTTGAAAAATAAAAATGTATATATTATGAGGTGTTCCGATTTATTTATTATTGGAATTTGATCATACTATTATATATCTATTAGATTTAAAAATAAAATACTTATACGAAATCATGCTTCAGCTTTCATCAGTATACTTAAAATTTTCAATGCTTTTGGTAAAATTTAACTTCTTTAAAAAAAAAAGAATTTTAAGAAATCTTTGAAAATTATAAACTTTATGTTCAATATTTAATTTGATTAATCTCTTGAATAGTATGAGAAAATTGGAGGGTGTATTCGATCATACATGTGTGTAATATACAAATTAAATATTTTTCTTTAAATGACTCATATACACTAATTTATGTTGATCCAAAAAATAAAAAGTGCATAATTTTTTTTTTTAAATCACATACATTAGAGTCATGTGTTGCTCCAATAATTAAAAATCGGATGTATATACCAAACTCAATTGGGGTCATATTGGAAAATTCTATGCTTCATTCATGATTGAAGCAATGGGATTTAGATTTGTGCATGAGAACTGTTTGATACAATCACCAATGAAGGAAAGATTTTGGTAGGGCTTGTCTCCGGTTCCTTTTTTTCTGTTCTCTACAGTTTCAGTAAAAAGTGATTGGCGACTTTAGGATACAAATGGAAACTGTAGAGTAGGACCACTGGACTCTACATTGGTGGAGGGACGTTTAAGGTACGACGTTGATTAATAAAATAATAAATCGGAATTGGGAAATTCGTTTATAATCAACGAGGAAATTATTGGGAGTCAACAGGGCACATGAGAAGAAAAATCAATTCATAAGGAGTTTTTTTTGTTGGATTAATATATATATATATATATATATATATAGAGATATATATATTCGTGTGTTGGTATATGTGTATATGTTTTAAATCTAATGAATTAGATAAAAAAAATTCAGTAATTATAATAGAGTCTCCCACGAGCTATGTCAATCATCAGATGATAAGATGGACAAGAATTAAGTATTATAATAAAAGTATATTAAATTAAATTGCACAAAGTTGTTTTTTTCAACAAAAGCTTTGCTGTTAACTCATAAATAATTCTGTTAACCGAAATCTTATAGTTTATAGTTAAAAAATTAGTTGATGTCATAAAAATATTTAATAAAATTAGTTGATAAGTTAGCTAAAAAAAATAAAA